ATTTCATATCATTAGCACCTCTAGTAATATATTTACTGAGAAAAATGGTGACGTGTTCAATACTTATTTTACCCGCAGAATTCTGTTGCAAACAATTGTGCGTTTGCTTCCACAAATGAAAAATTGAACATTGAGAGATCAGATTGGATCTGACATGAGTCAAACCAAACCAGACACTTTGTGGGGGGAGAGGAACAGACCGACATGTCGTTATGATTGTTGTGAACAAGAGTGTTTGTGTGTTTCTCTTTCACTCTATCTCTTTATCAGCAATGAATCAGCGGAGTGTTAGGACATCGTTTAAGCTCTCGCACAGCATCAATACTGGCTGTATTGATTTTTTTAAACAGTTAATGGAAGCCTTTAGGGTAGGAAAGCTAATTAAAATCATATGCAGGTCAAGCTCATTTAAAGACTCCCCATTAGTTTATGTTGAGCTTAACCACGCTCGACTGAAAAATCCATCCATGGGGCATCATAATTGACTCGTGCTTCTAATGGCTTTCCAGTTCTCCTTCATCCACAAGAAAGATAGGGAGGTCCTCTGGCAGATTTCACGTCTCAGGTTTAATAACCCTCATGCAGAATCATTAAAGACAACTGACGTGTGTCTTGTGTCCTCAAAAGGTGTCATCAGTGCCTGGAGAAAGGGGTTTCAAAGACGTGACGCCTTTAAAAACAAACATGAGAACATCTGGAGTTCTGGTTCTAAAAAAATGTTGCAAGAAGAGTTCTGTTTCATCATACTGGCACAACTTTCCTGGCAATTATTTCATTCCAGATGGACAATGATCTCTCCAACAAACATACTGTTTATTTAGTTCGTTTTTTAATGCACATGCACCTATTTCATTTCAGTAAATTATCTGAGTGTCTCTTTAGAAGGCAGATTTGAAACTGTAAATCAGAAGGGGATTAAGTTTAGGCTGTGTTTATTGTTTCCTATCGGGCAACAATATGCTAGCAGCAGATGCCAGCAGATCTTGCTGGGTCTTCGTTTGGCAGCGCAGCGACATGACTCTCGCCACTAACCGCATCCCCCTGCCGCCACGGTTGTACCCAGCTGGCACAAGACGCAGCGAAAACTCCATACTGTCACAGCTTCGGCGGAGTGGTTCATTAAACAGAGTTAGATCAGATAAAAATCCCCCCGAGATGAATTTTCTCTGTCATTGCRAATAAATGGGGAGAGGATGGGAGGAGTGAGATGGTCGTCTGAGAGGTAATATGTAATAAAGACACATAATAGGATGTCAGAAGCTTTGACTTATTGTATTACCTCTAAAGCAAGAAATTTTTGTCTACTTCAGCTGCTTAATGTCATATATATGTATATGTATGTGTGTATGTATATATGTATATGTATGTGTGTATGTA